AATATATAAGGGTATAATAGTCCAAAAAAATATAAAATTAGGAAAAAAAGGACTTCGTGGAATAAAAGTACAAACATATAGGACTAATTAAGTTATAAATTTCCTTTATGGACTTATTGGGTTAGAACATCCTTAAATGGGATTTATCAATAAAAAACCATTGAATGGTATTTATTTTTTTTAAAAAATAAACGACAAATATAATTTTAAAAATAACCATCCATTTTTTATAATAAAAATTAATTCAAACATATAGTTGTCGATATCTTATCATCTTGATTTTTTATATAAATATTCTACTTAACAAGTTCTAAAAAGTGAACGGTTCGGATTATTGAAACGGGACATGTGGTGAGCTCTACAACTCCCTCAAGTTCTCTTATATTGAGATGTAAACGTGAAAGAAGCCTAACCCTTTTGAAAAAGGGGATTTTTTTATTTTATTTTAGGGTCCTTGGTATTAAGATTTTATAGCATAACGGAGAACAATATTTTCATAATGTCTAAGGTCCCTCAACATCACCGGAGAAATTTCAATCCCAAAGAACTTCTCTCCAGAGAAATTCTAGACTTCCCAAAGAATTTCTCTGAGTTCAAACCAGATAAAATTGAAATTTTTGTGCACAAATTTCTCTAGCTTTGTTCACAGAGAATTGAAATTTCTCTAGCTCTATTTACAAAAAATTTCTCTGGCTTTGTTCACAAATTTAAACCAGAGAAAATTATTTTAACCAAACTAGAGAAATTTTAACACAATAATTTTAAACCAGAGAAATTGTTTTAACTAAACCAGAGAAATTTTAATCAAACTAGAGAAGTTTTACAAATTTAAAATTTCTCAGTGTTTGTTCACAATTTTAAACCAGATAAAATTTAGTATATTGACAAACTCGTATGGACAAATTAAATGTACATATGTACATATATAGTCTTCTCACTCTAAGATGACAGTATACAAACACAATGTTGTGAACAATGAGCTCTCGAAATTGATCTTTGATATTTGTCCTCCGATTATAAGTAATGGTCGGAATTTTTAATTGAGTATAATGACAAACATAAAATCGCACTTAGAGTACAAATTTAATAAAGAATTACTAATAAAGCGATCCAAACAAATCCCACATTGTAAAATCAATGAATGTACTTGAATTGCTTCAAAGACTTGAGAGCGAGAAGAACATTCATTCAAAACAATAGCATAAGTATAGTCATTAGTAATAACTCCTTCAACACCTATCTGTCAAACAACTGTATACCCACATCACCCATTCCACACTTGGAATAACAAAAAATCAAAGCATTTTATGTAACTAAATCTCTCATTGGCATTTCATCAAACACATTCTTCATTGAATCCATGTCCCTAGCTCCTGAATACATCCTAAGAAGATTGGTCCCAAGAAATTCATCCGATAAAGAGAAAACCTTAACAACCTCTGCATGAACTTGTTTCCCGAATTCAAAATCACAACAAGGCAATACAATCAAATAAGTATAATTATCCAGCTTAATCGAACAACAACACATTTTTACGAAATGGGTCAAAGCTTGTTGCAATCTTTGGTGTTGAGCAAAACCAGAGATGACTATATTCCAGGATTGACAATCCTTTTCAAGTATAGAATCGAAAAATGTTAATGCTTAGGAAACTAACAAGCTAGATTTGAAGAACCTAGATAGAATGGTGTTGTAAGAAACAAGGTTAAATTGAGTGTACATATATACACGTATAGTCTTCTCACGCTAAGATAACGGTATACAAACGTAGTGTTGTGAACAGTGAGCTCTCGAAGCCGATCTTGATATTTGTCCTCCAATTATGGGTAGTGATCAGAATCTTCATCGGAGCAATCATTATCCTCATCGTCTTCCTCTTCTCTCTCGCCCCAATCGAAACCCTAGAAAGAGAGGAGAGAGTAGAGAGAGAGAGGAGAGTAGAGTAGAGAGAGAATGGGAGTGTAGTGTGATATAAGGATATAAGGGTGAGGGACACTACAAAAGAAAATATTGTAGACCTATTCTATTACTAAAAATTGAAAAGAGATGATAGACTAATTTTTCCTTTAAAAACTACATCTTCTTCTTTGAAGTTTTTATTTTTATAACAAGTAATTCATTTTATTAATAAATTATTAAGTTAATTCATAATTTTTTATGAAGTCAGAAATTTATTTTAATTAATAATTTAAGTAATTTCATTATTTTATAGAAAAATAGTTAGAAATTTTATTTTTTTCAATTAATTATGTTAAATAAAAAATTATAATAAAAAAATATTTATAATTTTTTATATTATAAAAAAATAATCTGTATTTTAAATCAATTTCAAGGGAATATTTAAAATTTACCCAATTAAATAATTTTGAAAGATTCTATTTGGGTGGACCGTAAGCAAAGCCCTCTCATCCACAAAGCCCATTGAGAATTTTATTTATTTATTTATTTGATTATGAATATATATGGATAAATGAATGACTAGCATCATCACCACTCTCTATCATTATGACTACTTTTTTAAAAAACAAAATTAAAAATAAATGATATACTTTTAAAATAATTACATTATAAGTGAAAAGATTTTTTCTTTTTTGTCCAAGTGTAACGTGCCAAGAAGATACCAAAAATAAGAAATACTTATTATGCACACGAGAGACTTGTATCCTTATAAAAATGATTTTTTTTTATTTACATTATTCAATTAAAATATAATTTTCTTTTTTTAAAAGGCATTTCTTGGTTTGCTCCATCATTTTTTTATATTATAAATAAATATCATATTTATTTTTTTGATTTTTTATTTTGAGAAAATTTATGATAAATCCAATCTAAAAAGGGTATAAAGCATTAGATTCAGTAGATATTTTTTTTTAGCGAAAGTTTTACCATTTGTAAAATAATTTGGTGAGAAATCCTTTTTATCTTTTTGGGAAGACATTTTGTTTTCAATTTTATCCCTTTAATTTATCTGTTAACTTTTATTTATCTATTTGTTCAAATTATTTTTTATATGTTCAAATTTATATCTATCTTTTCAATTTCTTTGACTATCTGTTCAAATTTTCCCTATCTATTCAAATATTTATCCAAATTTTATTATCTGTTTAATTTTTTTATTTTATTTTTTTCTATGTGTTGAAATACCAAGCCAAATCATACACTATTTGTTGAAATACAAAGCCAAATCAACCCCTATCTGTTGCAATAACATGCCCCTATATGTTCAAATTTTGAACAAATCTGTCATATTATCTATCATTTTTTAAAATTTGTTGCAATTTATTTTTTCATTTTCATCATCAACAATAACAACAACAACGACGATGGTGCCAACAGTGGGTGTGTTGGTAGTGTTAAAGTCAGAGAAGGAGGGGAGAGAGGGAGAAAAATAAACAGATAAGAAAATAGTTTGGTTGCTCAAGCAGAATGAGAGAGAGAGAGAGCAAGAGATAAAAGTGTGAAATAAGATGGAGGTAGTGGAGGGATATTTTGGTCATTTTATGAGAACTTGTCATTATGGACATAATAAATTAGCACCTGAACTTTTGAACAAAGAAAATCCAACATTGGATTTCTCACTTGAGTCATTTTTTATTTTTTATATGGTGGGCATGAAGCCAAAAGATTAAGGGAAACTTCATCAACAACAACTTTAGTTAGAGAGTTCGGGACTTCCTCCATCTACACCTGTTTGTCTTCTACTTGGATTGCCATCCTAGTCAAAATGTGTGCTGCCTCACTTACTACAACAAAAAAGGATTTTTATGGTACGCAATGCACACCGTAAAAACCCTTCTACGACGTGCAGCTCGCGTCATATTATGATCAGTCATGAAAAGTCATTCATTTTCAACGATATGCTTTGTACACCATTAAAAACTATTTAACGCAGATTTTATGCGTCGTTGTTACTTTTTCTATGACATATTATAGTACGTCATTAAAAACTATTTAACGGCAGATTTTGTACATCGTTATTACTTTTTCTACAACTATTTTTGCACGCCGTTAATTGGTGAGACAAATAACGACGTTAATTGCGCGCCGCAAAATATGTAATACAACGGCTTATTATGTTTGCCGTAGAATATGCAATTTTTATTTTTATTTTTAAATTTAGCATGTTCTATTTGACCAATTTTGTACAATCTAACAAATATTACAAATAAGTATCACAAAACATCAATCAACCACCGAAATATTGTTTGAAACATCAAAAAGAAATTATATCCATAAATTATAAACATTCAACAATTGTTTACACATTCTAAATATTCGAAAATTATATCCTTAAGTTCTAAACTGTACAAAAAGTTTAAACCATCTAAAACTATGCATATCTAACTTTCTAAACATATCGACAATTATTAAGAGATTATCTAAGACTACAGACAACAGTTCCTATAGCAGTTACAGTTGCAGTTGTAGTAAATTCACTTGCTCCTATCATAGGGACGAGAGTGCCTATGTGTCACCTAAACCCGCGGCAATTAGGACTGTGCACAATACCGTCAAAACTGCCAAAACTGCTCCGGCTAGAGAAGCTCTAAACTGCGATTTTTTTCCAATTCTGGCAGACAGGTGAGCGGGTTAAGATGCCAGGACTAGCGGGTTAGCGCGGGTGGCGGATTGGAAATACCAACCCGCTGAAAAAACCAACCCGCACCGTCACTTTGTTAAAAGATTTTCCCTAGCCACTGTATATACATCCAAGTTACGTTTCCAACCATTAGATTACATCTATCATACCAAATGTACATACATTCACACACACAAAAAAAAATTCTCAATTAAACCTAATTCACATCTAAACATCTCATCTCATTCTTTGATCGGTGCTGCTTTATGCTCTTGTTCCTCCTCCTTCCTTACCTTGCCGATCGGCACTCTCCTAGCCTTTCCGTCACTACCGTTAGTCTCGCCGTCGCTATTGTTCACTCTCTCTTCTCCGTTGCTGCACTCTGCTCGCCGAGTTGCTTGGTATGTGGATCTTTTTCCTTTCTCTCTCTCTCTCTTTGCTCTCTCTCCATTCCTCAATATCTATCTCTTACCAAAGTGGACAAATAGGCAGTGTTTTATTAGTTGTTTATTTGTCGTATCAAAGCTTTTCTAGTGGTATAAAACATCAATTAGTGATGCTCTCGTCATATTGTCTGGTGAACACATGAAAGTGCTTTATTTATTTTACTTTAATCAAAGTGTTCTCATAATATTGTCTAGGAGCACATAATGAAAACACAATATTTTAATTTTGACTATTTTAGTTAATTTATAAATTAGATCTTTTACTCTTTGATTCAAATTTTATAATTTAAATTATGTTTTCTTAAAAACCGCCAATCCGCCCGAACGGCCAAGTCAAAACCGCCATTATTTGCCAACCGAACCGCTGGTTTTTGATAGAAAAAATGGCAATTTCTAATAATACTTTTATCAATCCGCCACCCGCCGTACGGTTTCTATTTTTCTCCTAAACCACACCAACCCGCACTGCGCACACCCCTAGCGGCAATAGCTGGAGCAACTAACCCTATTGCATTTCTTGTCTGCATGACAAAATAAACTTCACATAAGTACAAAAACCAACGACTCAAGGACAAAAATATTTCTTGAGGTATTAAGAAATGATTAAGAAATTTTAAAACATCAACAAAACATTTCCAAAATTAATAAGAAAATTCAATGGCCCCATAAAAGCAATGTCATAATGAAAAATTAGCAAAAATTCAAGATCTCAATAGTCTCAACGTATATGCAAATAAAATCTACATAAAGCAAAACCTTTTTTTTTCATGCCTCAGATAAAGTTACCTATTTTGTTGCAATGTTTCTAAAAGGAAATAAGTAGGAATTTTCAAACAAACCATTATGTTTGTACAGGAAAATATAGTTTGCTACTAAATCTAGGCCATAAGAAGCTCAAGAGAAAAATTAAAAAAAGAGGAAGAGGTGTAATTAATCTACTTCAATGCAGCACTTACTTGGGACTTGCATGATTATGTTAAAGGATCTTTATGTATGAGGTTTAGGTTTATATAGGTTTTATCCATTACCATTGTAAGTTCCAAAATAAAGAGTCCAAGTCAAATTAGAGTCTATATTATTTACAAGTTTAAAAAGAAACTTTTAATCCATTGTAAAAGAAATTTAGGTAATTTTAGTAGCTTTAGGCGCTTTTTGGGACAATGTGATGTAATTCTACCTGAGTATTTAGTAGCAAATAATTCCTAAGCTAATCTTTTTCTTATTCTCTAATTTTTCACTAGTATCTAATTCAACTAGCAACAGTTGATTTTGCTACATAGATCCTTTGAATAGTTTTTATTAAAGTCTTCAGTTCAATAAAGTGCTTGGAAGAATAGAAAAAAGGTGAGAACTTTAGGGATCAAAATCAAACTCAATTTCCAGAATAAATTTAGAACTGTGAATAAATACATAGAAATAAAATCATATGATTACATAACACTTGAACCCTTGTTTCAAAGATTTGATAAACAAATCAGCATGAGAAATGACACTATCGCCAATGGTGATATGCAAATAACATCATGGATCAAACACACCATAAGGGTACTGGATCAATAGGTCAATAATGGGTTTGTGCCACAGGTGTTGAACGATCTACTCTACACAGTTGTGAACTTAAAGGGCTAGAGAATTTTTTTTTTTTTCATACAATGAAGGCCAGAACCATATTAAGCCTCCGTTTGAGAAGTGGGTTGGCTTTTTGGCTTTTTAGCTTTTTTGGCTATTTTAGCCTGGGCTAAAAAGTTTGGTTTGGGAAGGGCTTTTTGACTTTTTTTGTGAGAGAAGAGTGTAATGATTATGGGTTGGATATGATGTTTTGTTTTTTGTGGCTAAAATAGCCTATTTTGTCTTTTGTGGCTAAAATAGCTAAAAAAACCTAGAAAATCTCTTCCCAAACGGACCCTAAAAAAAAAAATACTTTCTATTCAACAAAAAACTCAAGGTGCAGTAGTAAATAAATACTCACTTGTCGTTGTACAAATTGAAAACCCCATTGGCATGAATTAAGTCATAAGACCTTGGATATGTGGAGAAAGCTTCACACCTAAACCCCAAAGATTATAATACGTAAATACGTAATTTTTATCTTTGTGTTGAATACAAAGAAAGGAAATGAATGGAGTAATAAAAGTTGAACTTAGGCCAAACAAATAAATTTTGTCCAACTAACAGTGAACACCTCACGTTAACAGAAGGTAAACAAATCAAAACCTTGCCAACCCAAGTCATTAATAAATAGTTTGTTATCCACACAACAGATCTTCTAGAAGACTACAAAGGTCAAAACTAAAGTGTGACTAAGGAACCTCACTTCTTGCATAGATATAATGGTTGACATAAACTACTAGGTAATTTACACATCATATAAAATCTATTTTTTGCGTTGGGTTGGTTTAAAAAACATGTAAAATGGAGTCATATCAATTAGCCAGGCAAGATAGATATTGATCAATTAAGAGAAGTGATGATATAAGTTTATACCATTTCGTATCTTTCTTTAAGTGAAACAAAATTGAAACCATCATCAATATTATATGAGCAACACAAATGGGCCATAGTATAGCAAATTAGATTCAACTAAAGGACTCTCAAAATTGTGTAATAAGAAGATCATTAATTTTCTCCATTTTCTCCATTTTTCACATTTCTTGGGTTTAGCCAACCTTTGTCAATGTCAAGCAAATGGGTATCATTCAATGAGGGTGCAAAAGACTTGGTTGGTGGCACCTATGTGCTTGATGTGGAGTTTATGGAGAAGTGGAATCAGTATACTTTAGAGTATATAAATATGACAATACATAGATTGAAGATATCTCTACTTTACAACTTTTATTTTTGAAATAAAAGAAACTTTGGTGAATCTTCTTTTTCTAACCACAAGTCAAAAGTCATTTCTTCTTTTAACATTTCTCAAATATGAAATATATTCAACTGTTCTAAAAGTACTGCTAAATTGCCAACCACATGAAAAGAATACATGTCACCTCAAAGAGAATTAAAAGAGAGAGAGAGTTTATAACAAAAATTCTCTACCACGAACACAATAGCTTCCTTAAAATAATACTCCAAAGTAATCCAACACTTTGTGACATCATAATTCAAAAAATAGATTCTTGAAATGAAACCAAATCTGAAGTGTTTTTGTTTATTAATGTTGAAGAGAATCTCATAAATTTTTAATGAAAATAATAACCACAGTCCAATGTTGATATACATATATAAAAACTAATCAACAAGTGCCCAAAAAAACCAAGCACAAGCCTGAAAAGTAGCACTGCAACAACGAACAACCAACATAAGAAAAAATAGGGGGGAAAAACACACCAAACAACCCTCCAGCTGAAAATGCTACCCAACAGCAGCATAAAGTCAAATGTAACCCAGCAGCAACACACAACAACTAAGTCCAACTACGAGCTTGAAGCATTACTCCAAGAGACTGAACAATTTCTTCCAAAATTGGCCACTCTTAGGTGTAAAATGTTATCCAACTAAGCATCAATTGATATCTATCATTGATCCACTTAATTGTATGAATTAGTAGGGCCAAGAAAGATGAAAAAAAATATTGTTCATAATAAGCCATACCCTACCAAGTTCTAATCATCCTTACAAATCTACAACCTACATTATCAATGCTCTCAATTATTACATTGACCTTTGAGACATTTGGCATCCATGTTAGCTACCATTCCCTTAATTTTTAGTTTCAGAGGAAACTCCCCTGCACCAACATCACCAACAACCTCTTTGTTGTTCTTGCCCAAAATTCTTGCAGCAGTTCATTACCAACAAAGTTGTGGGATTATTTTCCATGTCTAAAACAGTTGGAGCACCTAATGTTTCATTTCCTTTAATGAATTTAATAAATAATAATAGTTTCACATGTATGCAAACTATTATTATTTATTAAAACTGAATGCATTGTATCTTAGGTTAATAAATAAATAAATAAATAAATCAAATGAAATAGTCTAAATTTTCAAACAAGTTCTTCTTGTACATTGTGACATTTGATCAAACACGTAGCATACATGAAGAGAAGTTAAAGAAATCTAAGAAAATAAAATCCAAGCATATAGAGAATAAAGATATACAAAGGGACAATCAAAAAACAAAGCAATCATAAAAAGGAAATGAAACAAAATATTCAAAACCAAACCAAGAGAGAGAAGATGAAAAGTATATTCATAGCCAAAACCGACTCAATAGCGAGAGATAGAGAAAGGATCAAAAATACCTCGTGATGTTTCTCAATGATTGTCTCCAATTCTTTAATACTTGAAGCAACAACGGCGGCGCTAACGCTTGCTCGGAGATACAATGTCGGTGGCTAAAGGAGGAAAATGGGAGAAGTCTGCGGCGGCACTGAAGAGGGAGTAGCTAGGGTAAAGAGCGAGGAGAGCAGAGAGTGAATGTGTGTTTCTCAATGTCTGTCCTTCTTCCTACTACTACTAGTACCATATTTCTCAAGCTTCTTCGTCTTTCCATCTCTCTAATCATCGTAGTCCAACTCTCCCCTCGCAAAATCCCCTAATTCTTCTCCATCATCCTCTTCTCCAATTCCAAAATCAGGAGTGCTCTCCTTGGCCGTCGTGTTCTTCTTGATGAGTCACTTCCGAGGCTTCGACTTCGCATCCGAATCATTCTAAATTAGGGTCGGAGAGGGGTTTTGAGGGAAATCGAAGGGCCTGGTAAAGAGGATGGAGGTGGATGATTTGAGAGGGGTTTTGAGGGAAGATAAGAGAAAGAGAAAAGAAGGGGCGATGGGTTTACAGTTGGAGAGAGAGAGAGAGAGCCTTTTTTTTTCTCTTCAAATAGGAATTTTCTCTCAAATTAGGGCTCAAAAGGGTGAAGTGAAGTAGATCAACGCTGGGAAGATTGAGGCAGGAGGGACAGATCGGAGATAAGAAGGGTGAGGATATAGATCGGCAATAGAGGAGCATCGGTGGTGAGAGTTTTATTTCATCAGTTGGTTTCATTAATGTTGGGACTGAAGATATTCCTTTTCTGATATATATATATATATATTTTGGTGGATTGGGACTAGAAAATTTTATTTTGACGGTTATTTTTTTGAATATATAATTCACGACATGTATTGTACGTCATAAAAAAGTAATAATTTTAATGACAGGTAATGTGTACATCATAAAAAGTGCAATACTTTTAATGGCGGGCGTTGTGTGCATTGTAAAAAGTGCAATACTTTTCACGGCTGGCGTATGTGTGTCTTGTATAGTTGATGTATCAACGGCATGCTATATACATGTCATAGAAAGTTTTATTATTTACAGCAAATATTACAAGTCATAAAAAAATCATCGTTACTACCATTCACAGCCTACGCAATAGATACACCGTAATTAGAAAAGTGTTTACAACGTGTAAAAAAAAAAGTCGTAAAAGTGAGAAACTACGGCATGTGTTTATTGTATGTTGTTGATGTAGTGCTGTAAAAAATTAGTTTTGTTGTAGTGATTCTCCTGGAGCTTAACACGTGAACGCAACGTTGAAACTCCAAAAGGGTTGATGGAGGAAGTAAAAAGATCTTCACCAATAGTATAAAGATCTTCACCTTGTGCCTTGATGCCGTTGATGGTCATAAGAGAATTCTTTTCTAGGTGTATATCCCAGAGACCTAAGTCTTTTGCCAACTGCACAATCTTCAAAGCACTTATAGTTTCTGTGTGAGTGATTTTCCGATCACACTGCCCAACTCAGTAATCAGCTGGAAAGCACTGGCAGAATAGATGACACCTGGCTGACTTGTAACAAAAAAAGAAGATTCCGGCGGTGGTTCGTCCACCCGGGGGCACTCCGACGATCAAGTTAGTATATCTCTCAAAGATAATCAATAGTGCTGAATTTACTGTTCAGAACATAAATTGCGTGCCTTAGACCCACGGGGGTGCCTCTATTATATAACTAACTCAATCCTTGTCCCAACAGGAGCTTAGCTCTAATAGATTTAGGATTACTATTAATCTTGGACTCCTAGTAGGATTGGGATAAACTCCCTAAGAGTCTTATCCTTTCCCAACTGTAGTCTTCCCCCTTTCTGGGACTCTTGTGCCTTATCTGCTTATCTCGGATTCCGACATCTTCGGAGGTAACCTCGGCCTCGCTGAGATCACTTCGGCGTCATGACCAGGACACGTGGCACCTCGGCTGATACGTCGGCGTCACGTTAGCCACGTGTTGGTACTCAGAAAATATATCCCCACAACTGCCCCTAGGTTCTATTACCTCGGCATTCTGAGGTGATAGAACCTATATCATTCCTTCCTGCCAGTACATCGGTTTAGCCGAGATCATCATCATAGACCGATATGTCTTTTTAGAGATCAAGAATTCCAAGAGCTTCTTCACGCGTATAAGCTGTTATACATAACAACTCAGCCGTTTTAGGCCATGTGCCTTCCTCTTACTGGATCGTACTTGTTACGCGCTCGTAAGTCGTCTCGCGCCTACATGCGCCGTCTAACGTATTCGCTGTTCCAGGCGCATTAATTGCCCTGTTTTTGCCACCGTTTCAATTTTTTGACAAAACTTGTTTCCCCCTTTCATTTTTCTCACTTTACATTGTCTTTATTCAGTACTCTTTCTCTCTCTAGCTTCCTCTAATCCTCCATTTTTCCAAGCTCTGAAGCTCTGCAACTTGCTCCATTCATTTCTTTCGTGGAAGTTCTTGCCAATCTGTTCTGCTGCCGCCATTCTTCTGACTTCAGGGATCTCAAGCATCGGCTTCTTTTCTCTGGTATGTCACCATTCCTCCTGGTTTTCAGTTCTTGTTGTGTTCGATGAAATTCTGTTTCATCATTTAGTCGCCATTGCTGTTTTACTTGAATATTTAATTCGCGAATCATGTATCTGAACATGTTTATTACATAATTTTGCTCTTTGTCCATGTCTTGAACACTTGCACTGTTCACATGCCTGTTGCTTTCTGCTACTGTTCTTGGCCTGATACACTTGTGCAAACTTTTTGTCTTGATTTCTTGATGTCTTCATCACCATTCTTGTTTCTGAAACGGATCCCTATTTTTCTGTTTTCCAGATTCGTTCCTTCAATCTTTATCTCCATAGCTTTAGGTTTGGGACTTGTTTATAGAACTCACAATTTTTAGGAAAAACTAAAACGAATTCTTTCTTGATCTATACAAACCCTTATCATAGCATATTTGTAGATTTTTAGCCGAGGTCCTTTAAATCCTCCAAAAATACTTCTTCCTGAAATCCGATATCTCCATTTAAGCCGACGTCATGGGTATGTGGGAACATAGGGTAAACACCCCGGAAAAATTAGGGTACTTTAGGTAGGAGTTCGAAATCCCGGCCAACGTTCATCTGAGGTTGGCTGGGGAGGATGACTCTATCACGCCCGATGAAAACCTCATGCCTTTCCTAGTGGTTGCGTTTATTGAGTGTGGACTTAGGTTTCCACTTGACCATTTTTTCCGTCAAATCCTTCATTTCTATAAGTTGAACCCAATGTAACTTGCCATTAACTCTTACCGACTTATTAACGGTACCATAGCTTTAGCCAAACAAGAGAGTGCTAGGATTACTCTTGCCGATTTTTAGTACTGTTATACCATGTGTCTCCTGAAATCGGAAAAAGGCCACATCTATTACTTCAAGTCGAGGTCCACCGAATACAAAATCATTGCCGAGCTCCCTGACTCCAATAAGGGAGCGGGGGATGATTACTTCATCGTCTTGGGAAACTAGGAGTTTCAGCCAAACGATGACCTCCATCTTTATCCCCTTAGTCGAACAGTTTTCGGGGAAGGAGCTGGTAAGGGCCATCCTTCACAAATTTTCTTGCTTGCTTGTATAAAGTTTTCAACATTCTGTTCTAATGTCTATACTTTTTTCTTCTTTGCAGTTCTTCCTCAGCCACCAAAGAGCTTCCGTCAGTCTTTCTTTCCCAGTAAAGACTTAAAGAAACTACTGAATTTAGAGGCCGAGGTCATCTTCTGTAACCACCTCAGGGTCCAAAAAACAAGATGCCCCCTGAGACCCCAAAATTACTTTGGAAGATAAGCCAGTCATGGCTAATGATAGTGCTGATGATATCAACGTCGGTGTAGCCCTCAGCACCGCTCTACTCCTCCTCGGCGACCTTGATCGAAACGCCGAGTTGAGTGAATATGAGAATTATGCTTTGATGCTTCAACGCTCCGTTCAAGTTAGTGTCTTTATCCTGTAACTTTTTCTTTCTTTCTGTTCATTCCATACTTGTAATTTTTCTAACAGCTTCTGTTCTGTTGTATGTTTTCCCAGGCAATCCAGCATGCCCATTCTTTCTCGGTACAATCTTTTGAGAACCGGGAGAGGTTGGCCGAGATGAAGAGGGAGGTCTCCAGAAGAGAGAAGCCGAGGAAAAGATGGCCCAGGCCCAGAAGGAGCTTTAAGACACCCTGGCTACCAAAGAGGCCGAGGTCAAGGCCGCCGACGAAAAGGCCTACAACGAGGGGGTGGCCGACATCATGGCGGACTACGAAAAGCAGGTGAAGCAGGCATGCAACAGGGGTTTTACCCTTGGCTGGATGACCTTGCTGAAAAGGCTCGATGTCCCCGAGGACTCCCCCCTCAGGAATACCGATGTCATTCCTCTGCCATTCCCCCCAACTCCAAGCCAACCCGCCGACGACGACTCTGAGTTTGAGGAGGAGGTTTTGGTGAGGAAGCCCAAGGAAGCTGCTGGGGCCAAGTCACTTACTCAAAATGAGCAAGTCCTGGACTTGACCCAAGATGAGGAGGTTGAGGAGGTTCCCAAGGATGTTGCTCCTGAGAAAGCATTATCCGACGTCCCTCTTGCCGACAAGAGTCTAGATAAAACCCTACAAGAAATTGATGCTGAACTTGCGGCCGAGAAGGTTGTCGAGATGTCTTCTCAGCAATCCTCCGAGGTCCAAACCCAGCCGGCTGCTGAAGACTCTTAATTTCATGTTTTTTTCTTCCATCTTTTGTACTTTTGCTTTTAAACAATTGTAAGCTTTTGGCCGACGTGCCTATTTTGAATATTAATACAACTTTCTTCTCTGAATGCTTGTATTTTTGTCTTCTCTTTACTGCTTTTGCATGATTCTATACTTAGAATATTTTTCGTATCTTTAATATGTACTTCAATCTTTGTGTAACCTTCTCGGGGTGACACACCTTGGTCATAGAGACTTGGTTTAATTTTAACTTATAAACTTTTCTCAAGTTTCAACAAGTATTAAACATCATATCGGTTTAACTTCAACTTGTAAACTTTTCTCAAGTTTTCAACAAGTGTTAAACATCATATCGGTTTGACTTCAACTTGTAAACTTTTTTCAAGTTTCAACAAGAGTTAAACATCATATCGGTTTAACTTCAACTTGTAAACTTTTCTCAAGTTTCAACAAGTCTTAAACATCATATCGTCTCTCTGCCGCCCAATGTGAACCTCAGTTCTACTTGGGTTCTCATTATCCAGGTATTCAAGAAATATCGGCAAGTATCTAAGAAATGTAGAAGAATTCTGCTAAAATTTTATTCATTATGTCGGCAAGAAACAAGGAAAATCTAATGATAAAAGAATTTCAAATTATAAGTGTTCCAAGGCCTTGGCAATTCTTTGCCCTCATTATCTTCAAGCCGATATGCCCCATTGCCCAATACCGAAGTGATTCTGTAAGTTCCTTCCCAGTTTGGGCCAAGCTTGCCCTCCCTGGGATCCTTCTTGTTGCCGACGACTTTTCTTAAGACTAGGTCGCCAACTTGGAACTCCCTTGGGTTAACTTTTTTATTGTAAGCTCTGGCAAGTTGCTGCTAGTATGCTGTCAGCTGAATTGCAGCTCTCTCTTTTCTTTCTTCTAGTAGGTCCAGATCTCAGGCTAAGAATACATCATTAGTCTCGTTCTTTACTCCCTGGGTTCTGATCCTAGGGATGCCAACCTCCAGTGGAATGACAACTTCTGTGCCATAGGCCATGGCAAAGGGTGATTCCTCCGTTGATC